GGTACCGGGGATCAAACTCGGGTCCTTGCGCTTGCACAGCAGGCAATGAAACCACTGAGCTAAATCCCCAGCCCAGGAGTTGGAATTTGAATTCAAGTTTGCCCAACTCAGGGGTTCTCTCAACTGGGGTTGATTTTGGCTTCTAGAGGACATTTAGTAATGTCTGGATGCACTTTGGGTTGTCACAACTTCAGGTTGTCATTGACACCTGGGTTGGAGACCAGGGATGGTATTAAACTTCCTGTTGTGCATAGCTCCCCTGTGCACATACCAATGAATTATCTGGCTCAAAATGTCAACAGTGCTGAAGTTGAGAAATCCCAGTCATAGCCTATGCTTTTGACCTGGAACGGGTGGGAAAAGCTTAAGGAGCAGAACAACAATGTAAAATGCCCACTCCAAGGGCCCTGAGTAGAAAGGGGATGGGATTGCTAAACTAAGGATAATAGAGAATGGGGCAGCTGGTGAGATTTCTTTCTTCCAAGCTTGGCCAAGACCCTGCTCAGTTTCTCCCAACCTTGCCAAGTCAGTCCTGGGACTTCATACTAAGTTTGTCCTGGCATGACCCTGACTCCCAGCTCAGGGTTGGGGAAAATATTTACTTGGGTCTTTCCGTAGGACTTCCCAGCCAAAGCTGGGACCCAGAGTGTTTCAGCTGCGGTCCCATGGCAGCTCTACATCAGCACCCTTGCTGTTGGGGGCGGGAGGGAGCAGAGGGTACCACTGAAAGTAAAAGAATGGAGCAGCCAGGGAACCAGGTGGCATCCAAGAAGTTAGGAGGGGACTGAATGGGCAAAGCCAGGAGAGTCCTCTCAGTAGGTCCCTGTCTGGAACAGAATAGTGCAACCTCAGGAGAGAGTAGTGAGCAGCTGGCCCGGGAAGCAGGGTTCTGACCCTAAGGCTTGCTTTCCACAACCTTTTGTTTCCCCTAGGTCTGGACCTCAGCGTCCCCGTGCTGTCCCCAGTACCCTACTGGAGCACCCACACATCCAGCCAGCCAGCATTCAGGGACTCCCAATAGTGGCCTCCCCACTAGACCAAGAGGGTGGGTCTGAGCTGACAGTGCTGACAGGAAATACCTCTCATTCCAAGCTCAGAACCTGAAGAACTAACTCAGATGGGGGGAGGCTATGATGGGGAAAAGATCATAGAATTATTTACCCCATATTTGGGGTTCCATTTCCTTCCTTTGCTCACCACCCGTGTTGGGTGGATAAGGGGACTAGGAGGAGGATGTGGTAATAGCTGATTTGTTCCCTGAGCTCACACTTTCCAACAATCAGCTGTTACTGGGGCTGAAGGCAGGAAGTCTCCTTAAAGGCACAGTGTTCTAAACACAGGCGGAACTCTGGAGTTGTGAGGAATCATAGCAATCACCTGCTGGAGCCTGTATTTAACACAGAAGCAGCTATCCCACGAAGGTCATCTCTAGGATTCAGTTACCCTCACCCTCAATATGTAGCTTATGGAAAAGATATGGATCCCTATCCACGTGTTCCTCTTTGGTGATGGCGGTGGTGGGCAAGTGATGAAGCGGACTGGGTTCCAGGCTTGCCCCTTTAAGTAAGCAATTCATCAACTTTTGCCAAGTCACTGGGTTCATTTCAGTTTTTGCCCATCCCCCGCCCTCTAGACTCTGATTCGCCCCTGGGGGAAGGAACAGCTTCCTCATTGGTCTCCACTTTCGAAATCTCTTCCCTAAGTAGTCCGGAGTCAGTGAACAGCTTTGGAGGGCGGGACAGAATGGAGACTAATCAAAGATTTGGAGTTTCTGGCCAGTGGCACTTTGGCACGGCCCATCCCCTACTTTGTTTTTCTTTTTTCTTTTCCATTCCCTAATTTCTGACCTGTAGCCTTCCCAGGAAGAAGCTCTTTGAGAGATTCTGGGGCTCTTCCGCGACCGGGACAAGACATTTACAAGAAAAGGCTCCTCTGGTTAGAAAGGGCTCCCCAGGAGGGGTGGACTAGATATCTCCAGCTGGGGCTGGGCGAGGTAAGCAATCCTCTCTCCTCCAAGAGCCCTTGAGAGTTCTACGAAAGTCTCTGCTGCCCCGGAGACTGATTTCAGTCTTCAGCTCTGCTCATTCCTGCTGCTTCGCCTGCTCCACCTTTCTTTAGAGAGCTATAACCTCCTGCAGAGGCCAGCGAATCATTCTTGGGGTTGTTTAAAAGAAGCTCTCACGGCTCCGAAAAGGAAGGGCTGTAGCCCTTTGAGGACTTCGCCAGGATGGATTTTTCTATCAGTTTAAAAATGCCAACTCACAGAGCGCGTTGCATTCTGGGAACGAGAATGTCAAGTGGAGAACTACATAGACCAGACAGCACTGCAAATACACACTCCTCTACTTCCTTCTGCTCTTTAGCTCTAGTTTGACGTAGCGCTCTTCTAAGCAAGTCCCTTAGGCGGAGGGCGGGGCCACACCTTTTCATCTATTGGCTAGCTCGCGAGGTGGTAGGCGTGGCTTACTGCAGCTCCGCTGGGCGAAGGGGTGGCCTCCTTGCCGATCAAGCCGAGATGACTGGGGGGGCGGGACCAAGGAGAAGTACGGGCGCCCCCGAGTGGGTGTGGTCACGTAGCCCAGCAGTGGGCGGTGATTGGCCCTGGGCAGTTTGATCACGGCTTGTGCGTCACGACGCCGCCAGCTGATCGGAGACTGGAGCCGGTGTGTGCTGGGCGCTGGTAAGAGACAGCTCCGCCGGCCATGGAGAGCGGACGGAGTGGTTTGCTCCCCTACCTTCAGCAGCCCCCACACCTAGCACCAGGTGGGTGTGATCTAGGGACCCGGTCATATAGGGGGGAATCGTGGTAACGGGGTAATAGAGGAAAGTGGGGTCCTGGCGGCCACACCCTGCCCTTCCGGGGGAGGGGAGAGGGGGCGGCGGGGCAGGGGCGCTCCCGGGGATAACGGACTGGACCTGCTGTAGTTGTATATCAGGAGGTTTAAAGAAAAAGTCCGAGATGAGAGTCGTGGTGGAAGGTCTGACGGAGTAGTTGAAAGGAATAGGAGCCGGGGGGCCGGGGGCGGCTAACCCTGCTGCCCTCTGGTCCGGGGATGCTGGAGCCCACCGTCTAGGTTGGAGAGGATCTGGACGAGCACGTAGCGAGGAGGTGCTTTCCTCTACCGGCACGCACCGGGTCATGGCCAGTTCAATTCCCTGGCAGGGAAGGGGTCACTGGGTGGGCCGGCCCCTCCTCTCGTTCCCTTCAAGGATGTTATGTAAGGGGGGAGGGGAAGGGAGTAGGGGGCGGCAGTGCTGGTGCCGTATGCAACCCAAAGGTTAGGGTTTCACCGCGGTTGGGTGGGGGGATGGGAGGAGGAAACAAACAGGAGGAGAGCCTGGAAACTCTTAACCGCCCCCCCCCCCGCCTGACTGGCCGTCTTGGGTGAAGAGAAGGTCACCTTTGCACCTCCTAGCCTGTCTGGTCCTGAGGCCCCTAGCCCAGGCCAGGGCCCGACCGCCTGGGAAGCCGGCCGGCTGGGTGGGGCGCCTGGGTTAGTCATCGCTGGGCTCCCTCTCTCCCCACCTCCCGGCCAACTCTTGGCCCCTCCCCATGGCCTCAGCTAGGCTATCGCCCCCACCTCCCTCTGGCCCTAGTTCCAGCCTTCAACTCATCTGGCCTGTCATCCTGGCTGTCATACTGGGCGAGAAGCTGTCAAGGTGCCAGAGGGTTGATGGAGCGGCTGGTCAGAGGGTCAGTGCCCTGGCCCCACCCCGCCCTGCACCCAAGGGCACCTGCTTGGCACAGACTCTCAGCAACCGCTGAATCCTGTGGACTGAACCGAGTCATCTCAGAGGGGAGTTGAATAGAGTTGGACTGTCACATAGGAGAGGGAAGAGACAGCCACTACAAAGTTTATGCCTCCCAAAAGGCTTTCAGAATTTGAAAACCCCTACCCCGACCCTAATCTTTATGCCCTGGGTATATAGAAATCTCAAGGCAAAATCGCCTTGACCCGTCAGTCTGGTACGGGCCATGCCCATGATCAGAGTGTCATGGTAAACCCACCCTCCCCACCTCAGAGGCCTCAAGCCTGCCACACCCCCAGCCCCCTTCCCGGGCCTTGCTACAGGGCCCGGCTTTTCCTGCTGATTCATGCGTTGGAACTGTTGGGGGCGGGGCTTAGAACTTGGAACAAAGTTCAGACATGGAGGGGCCGGCAGACAGCCTGGAATTCATACCAGATGTACCCGGAATGTGCAAGTGGAATGCCTGGCATCTGAGAGTCCTGAGGAAGCTGCCCAGCCACCCTGCCCATACCTCCCTCCCCTCCAGCCTTGGGTTTGCTGTCCTCTCCCTCAGAGTCCCCAGAGCCTCTGCTGAACTTCCAAACTCTAAACCACCCCCTTCCACACTATTCCTCAATTTAGCCCCTGCCCCCCACCCCCACCCAGTTCTTTTTCCAGCTGAATTCTCTGGGACCAAGTCAGTTGGGCTGATCACTAGACTCAGTTCTGAACCTGAGGTCCAACTTCTCACCTAATAGTTATTGGTGGGGTGTGTCCAGGATCTTAGGCCCTGCCCTCCCAGAATGCTGAAGCATCTGGTGGGTTGCTAAAGGTCTCTTTAGTTTCCTATAGGTAAAGAGGGATAAGGGAAGTTTAGAGCTGCTCTTACTTCTCACTGAGCTGAGGTACCAGGGCAAAGCCAAGAACTCCTCATTAGAAGGTTGAAAGTCTATCAGAGCTTAGACAGCCCTGTTCAGAGCTTTCCCATTTTTCTTCCTTTTCCTTTTAGGAGCTCGTGCCTCCCGTATCCTCACCTGGCTGAGCCGCAGTAGTTCTTCAGTGGCAAGCTTTATGTCCTGACCCAGCTAAAGCTGCCAGTTGAAGAACTGTTGCCCTCTGCCCCTGACTTCGAGGAGGAAGAGGAGGAAGAGCTGCTTTCTCTATCATCTGGAAGGTGACAGAACTGGGACTGGGAAGGTCCAAAGGCAGAGGTGATGACAGCTTTTGGGAAAGGGAACTCTTCTCAGTTGAAGAAGCTTCACCCAGATTGGTCCAGCAAGAGAGCAGTTTTAGACTAGAGACACTGGCTGAATTGGGGAAGAGGTGGCAAAGACTACCCAAGGTTAGTTGGTCTTTGTGTGGCAATAGGAAAAAACAGAAGGAAAGTCTATCTACTCCTTTACCTAGATTTTCTCATTGACCTTCCCTATCTCTGATTCTCTCCTACAAGCTTTTCCAGGTGAGGTCCAAAAATAAGTCTTCAGGGGAAAAATAGCACTGAAACTCCACTCTGAGTAGTCATCACGTGCTTTTTCCTTTTCCTGTATTTTCTTAAACTTAAGAATACTCTAGATTCTAGATTTAGGGGTACTTACCTACACTTGCTCTTAGCCAAAAGGCCGAGAAGCGATAGGCAGGTACTTACCTATAGGGGACCCTTACACCTCTCTATCCACCTGTGAGTATACAGGAGGGAATCAGAAGTCCATCTATGCTGACTCAGAGCTAGGTTCCTTCTCTTGTGGGTGGGAACAGCTTTTCACATAAGTTGATGGGGTTGGGGAGGAGCAGTTGGAAGGAGGGGCTAGGGTTAGACCAATGCAAGAGGCCTGCCACCCAAAGTTGTACTATCACCTCTGGTAGTGTTGTGGCTGCCATTGCTGTTTCTTCTCTGCTTTGGTTTCCAGGGTAGTGTGTGAGACTTGTCTCAGGCCTATGCAGGCAGGAAATTCTCTCTTTTGGCAACCAGGGGAGATACTTTGTAGACTGTGACCCCCTTTTTGGACACCAGGCAGTGTAAACCACCTCCAGCTTCTGATCATTCTCATACTTGATCTGGTATAGTTCAGTCTTGGGCCAGTCTCCCTAATAAATGGTGGCCAAGGGCTGGGGATTTAGCTCAGTGGTTCTGGTGCCTGCCTCGAAAGCACAAGGTCCCGAGTTCAGTCCCCAGTATAAAAAAAAAAATTCCAACAGCCATAAATGGTGATCAAGTTCAGGGGCTACAGGAAGCTGTTCTCTTTGGTGGGAGGAGATGTGCAGGGAGCTCTATCTTATTCTCCACTTATAAGAAACTGAAAGACATAGAGGAGAGTAGATCATTGAGCCCAGCCTCACTGCAGCCCAAGCTGAAGGGTAGGATGGTTGTGGGACTGTGGTAGAGGGAGGTGGGTAGATGAACCCTACTCATAGTTGCAACAAAGATTGCTCTGTCCTTGGATATTGCCTCCATCCTTTCTTCCCCTCATTGCTTCACTGGCCACAGTGAGTCTCTCCAGCCCTGAGTATGTGGCTCTGCTATCTTCACCCTTCATGGAGCAGAGATGAGGAAGGCAGCCTAGCAGCACAGACCCAGGCAGAAGACCAATGAAGGACCAGGCCTGGAGAGCACAGGGCCCTCTCTGGGCATGCACGAAAGGGGCCCATAAAGGCCTGGAGCACTCCAGGAAGAGGGAGAACAGCCAGCCCCCATCAAGAACAAGCTTCCTGTGATCTGCTGCTTCACTCACTATTTCTCTCCAGTACTGCCTCCCTTGGGGATGTGAGACCAGAGTGAAGTGTCTAACAGCTTTCACCCTCCTCCTACCTCTTCCCTACCTACTCTGTTATTTTTATATGAGCAGCCTTAAAGAGCATGAACCAGATGTGACAGGACATGCACAGGAAATTCATTTTTAAAAACTCAAATGGTTAAAACCATTAAACAAACCATATTCTTCATTAGTAATTAAAAGAAGCCAAATATCACTGATGTCTCCCTTAGCAGCCTATAACAGAAATAAATAAGACCCATTGTTGACAAAAGAGCACTACCATATATTGTGTATGAGACTATAAATTGGTACAGCCTTCCTGGATGGAAGTTCAATAATATGTATTAAATACCCTAAAAGGTTCCATGTCCTTTGACCTAGTAATTCTATGTTTGGCAATTTATCTTTAAAAATAAAATTAGTTATAAAATATTTATTCCAGGATTACAATAGAGAAAAATGGAAAACAACTGTTTGATTGGGAATTCATTCCTTTTCTGCTGTAATGAAAATTTGCAATAGGGGATTGCTTAAGCAAATTATTGTATATCCATCCAGATGGTGGAGTACTGCACAGCCATAGAGATGAACATTTGACTGGAAAGAAAATTGTTCTTTGAATATTAAAAAGGTTATAAAAAGGGGCCGGGGATTTAGCTCAGTGGTTCTGCCGCCTGCTTCGCAAGCACAAGGACCCGAGTTCGATCCCTGGTACCCCCCCCCCACAAAAAAAGAGGTTATAAAAATAGTGTGTATTCTGTTACCTAGTTTTAAACAATTTGTTTTAAAAGTATGGTGTATACTTGTGTAGACAGAACAGATTTTAAAACAAACTGAAGATGTACTAAAAAATGTCATTATGGTTACCTTTGGATGGTGAAATAAAACAATTGTAGTTTCCTGCTTTAGTTTTTCTGTAATTTCCAAATTTTCTACATTGATTGTATATTGATCCTATACAATAAATAAAATATAAAAGATCAGTGTAATTTTTTAATCCTTTGGATAAGTGGCTATAGAAGGAAGGGATGCACCTAGCCCTTGGTGAGAATGTTTGATTGGGATGCTAACCAAGACTTCTCGTTTTTGGTTTGGTTTGATTTGGTGCTAGGGATCAAACACAGGTTCTCACTCATGCTAAACAAGTGCTCTACCACTGGCTACATCCCCAACCCTATGAACTTCACCCCTTCTCCCTTTTAAAACTGAAACATTTATTGTGACTAATCCTTTGAAATTCTCAAGATGAACTGAATGTTGCCACAGCCGCTCTCTTGGGCTTAGGTGTCATTCCTTCACAGAACCCAGGCCTGAATCAGTAATACACAATCCTCATTCACCCAATCCTGATGTTATTTCATCTTTTACCCTTGGCACTCCAGTTATACTTTATCTTGTGCTTGGCAGGATAGCCACATTTACCATAGGTAGACTTCTGAAGATGGTAGGCCTTAGAACCATAGCAGTGTCACAATGTGTATTGCTTAATACAGTGTTTTCCAAACAATATTCCCTTTATCTCACTTCTGCCGCCAAGACCAAAGAGTTATGAACTTCATTAGGAATAGGCAGAATCCACCTTCAATATTCAGAAAGCAGCTCTTTGACTTGCTGGTTGTCAGCCAACTAAAGAGTTATGGAGTGGAGTAAGAAGGAAGGAAAACAGTAAAAACCTGCCATTCTTCGGGTATGAAGGATCAGGGAGAATTTAAATTCTAGAATTCTAACAATCGTGCTGCTGAAAACACTAAAGGTCTTTGTTTTCTCTTCTGACTCTGCCCCAAACTTGAGGTGACCCTGTATTACTTCTTGTCCTCATATTGGAGGAGATATTTGACCCACCCAACAGGTACAAACCGCTGAGAGAGGGAGTGCTTTTTCAAGACTACTGGTAAGTTGCTTCTCTTTTTCCTGCCCTTCCTCCTAAGGTGTCATGTGTTGGGGGGGCAGAGGTGTCTCCTGGTTGGTTGCTTCTCCAAAATGGGAGTTGCTGTTCCTTTTGGGAGGTGCTATGTAAGGGAGCAGGACTACTGGAATTATAGGTTTGGTACAATGTGTCAACGGCCTGGAAACCTTGGAAGGCAGACAGGTGTCTCCAAGAAGTGAGGCGACCCCACAGCTGAGAGTGAAAGGTGAGGCCCTGCGTTGGCTAGGCTCAGGCCAGGAGGGTAAATTGCTCCAGCTAATACCTTCAGGGTTTCAAGGGCAAGCGTGAGAGATATCCAGTAGGTGAGAGATGAGGAACTAGGGGAGAGAAGGTGAAAGTTAGTGGGGCAGGGCCCCAGAAGTGTCAGGTGAGATTAGACTAGGGACCATCTTTGGAGTTCCCATATCTGGAATTCCAACGAATTTGGGACACGTGGCGTTGGAGAAAATCCCTACTGACATCCCAGAAGGATCCCTGGGTTGCACAGCTTGGTGGTGCCCAGGACCCCCCAAACAGCTCTCCCCAGTAGGGGCAAGACGCGATTGGTTGTTGTGGCTCCATGGGCGGTGGCCCCAGTGCTGCTCCAATCACTGCCCAGCTGAGGGATGGGGGTGTGGACAAGCCCAAGAAAGAGCAAATTCAGAAGGCGAGTCGGGCGAGGGTGCCTAAGGATCCAGCCCTGCGCGGAAAACAAATCTCCGATTCTACGGGGGGTGGGGGTGGGGGTGTCAGCTGAGGGTTTGGAGCCAAAGGACGGATCAGGAACCTAGCTGGCCCCCAGGCCATGGCACCCACGGAGCTGCTGGCGACCAGTGACCTCCTTCTCTGTGTTCCGGGTTCTGCACTGGGGGATGAAGCTGCTGCCCACTCCAGGATCAACCGCTCAGGACCGCTGGAAGTGGCGGAACCGCTGTGTCTCGCTGATGCACAGCCTGGTCACCGGGGTTGAGGCGCTGCTGGGGTAGGGAGCTTGTGGGTTGGAGAGGCATTGCAATGAGGACAAGGGGCTTGGAAGGCTAAGGTTGGAAGACTGGCTGGCACTTTTGGAACCTAAAGGAGACCTTCAGAGTCTGAGACTGGAGTCAAGTGTGATTGGGTGGGAGGGCGTACACAACCACAGAGTGAGTGGGTCGGGATTATGCAGAGACTGACCCCAACTTCCCTATCTGTCCCAGGGTGTTGCTGTATCCTCAAATGGCCACAGACCCAGTTCATGGCCACCCATTTTGGGCCCTGGTCCTGGTGGCAGTGTGTGTGGGTAAGTCTGCAGGGAAGGATGGGTCAGTGAGGGCAATCTTAGATCTGGAATTCCAGGACTCCTTTCCCCACTTCCACAGGAATTAAATGTGACTGGCATTTTCCTGAGGCAAACTAAAGAGGTGAGAAAAACAAGGCTGGAGCTCCTCTCTTACCGGCTCTGGGGAAGCCTAACACCCCTTCCCATGTGTCCACAGGGTATTTCCAGGCTGACGGAGCTGATCTACTGTGGAACCAAACCTTGGGCCAGGCTTGGGACATTCTCTGTCACCATCTGGTGGTGAGATTCCAAAGGAAAGGCCAAGGAATGAAGGCATGCCCAACCTGGGGTCCCCAGCCTCTCTTCAGATTTCTTTTTTGTTTGTTTGAGGTTTTTTGGTTGGTTGGTTTGCTTATTTGTTTGTTTGAGACAGGATCTCGCTATATAGTTCAGGCTGGCCTTGAACTCACTGTGTAGCCCAGCAATCCTCCTACCTCAGCTTCCCAGTGCTGGGATTATAGGCATGTGCCACCACACCCATCTCTCTTCAGTTTTCTATCCTCTGACTTTCTACAGATTCTCTGACTCTTGATGCCTGATCCTCCCAATCTGAGGCTGAAGGAGGGGTTTGGACGGCTGGCCACAGCTGGGAGTCTGGGCAGGGGCCTGGCTCCCCCACAAATGTCTAGCTGATCACAGAAACATTGAATAAAGATCTTTTCTGAGAAGGAAAAGCCCTGGCATAGGATGTGGGGATGGAACACGAAACCCAGGAATGGAAGTTGGGAGGTACTGTGCAAAAATACAGCCCTAGTGTTGCCAGACAAGATTGCAAAAGCCCCATGGTTGCAAAGAAGCCCAGTGTTGAGAACTCCTGGGGCAAGATAATAATTGAATATGGTGGCACATGCCTGTAACCACAGCACTTGAGACAGGAAGATTCAGAGTTCCAAGCCAGCTTGGGGTACATAGAGACTTCAGGGCCAGCCTGGATTATACAGGAGACCCTGTCTCAAAACACACACACACACACACACACAAAAGTTAACATGAAGTTCAGTTTCTGAAGGTAGTCTTACAAAATTCTTAGGAACTCCTTGAATACAGACTGAGAAATTGGTACAGGATAAGTGCATGTCATGGAAGGTCTTCTGACTTTGACCCTTGTCTCTAGGTGGTGTGCTGCCTCAGCTTCACTTTACAGTCTGGCCATTATGTGGGCTTATCCATGGTGTGTCTGCTGGTGGAGGTGAACTCTATCTGCTTGGACCTGTGGATCCTGCTGCTGACTTCTTACCAGATCCCCTCCCTGGCCTTCAAGGTGACCAGCTATGTCACCCTGGCCACTCTGGTCCTCTTCTGCCTGGTACCACTGGGATAGATGAGTCTATGGATGCTCCAACAACACCATCAGATACCTCTTGCTCTGATCATTCTTGATGGAACTGGGCTGTTCACTGTGGGTGCCATAAGCATTAGAACAGGTGTCCAAATTCTGATGGGTGATATTCTTCAGCCTCGGCCCCACCCGCCCATCCTTGAACACAGGGAGACCAGGGGGACCAGGACATGTTGTGATTGTGAGCCCATTACCAGGGATAATTCCACTCTGAACTTGAAAAACTAGAGAGAAGTGGCAGGCTTCTCTTCTGCCGGCCCTATGGAAGTAGACTAGGAGACAGTGGTCTTTGCTATGCAGTCTCTCATGGGTTTAATGGCTGGACTAGATTATCAGTATTTCAGGTCCTCTCCTCCTTCCCCTTTCTTAGGATCTAAGAAGACATGCTGACATTGGTGGCTGGCTGGGAACCTGTATTACTAGTCACTAAAATCTATCATCATGTAATCACCCTTTCTAGAAAAAGAAATCAAGAGGGCTGGGGATTTAGCTCAGTGGTTCTGCCACCTGCCTGCCTCGTAAGCGAAAGGTCCCAAGTTCAATCCCTAGTACCAAAAAAAAAAAAAATTAGTGAGCTCAAGGCCAGCCTCATCTACATAGCAGGACCCTGTCTAAAAAAAAAAAAAAAAAGAGTAGCTGGAGGTGTGAAGCTGAATGAAACTGCCCGTGGTAACAGAAACCCTTTGCTCCAGCACAGGGACAAATGAGGATCAGAGAGATCTGGCATGGAGGGGGCAGGACCAGAGGGGAAAGAAACCTAACTTACGACCAGATTTTGGCAGTGGAAGGGAGAGCACAAGAGATACGATCTGTTACCAGTAGAGATGGGCATGACAGTTGCCAAGTGACAGAAGAACATAGGTCATTGCAATTGCTGCTGTTATTTCTGGTTCCCAAAGCTGCACTACAGGTATTGAGTTTATTTAATACTAGTCCTAATGTGTCCAGCCTTTTAATTTTTTTTATATCTTTGAACCTTTCCAAAGAAAATATAGATTCTTCTTTGAATGGTCATGGGGCTAAGTCTGTCTTCTTTTTGTTGTTGTTGTTCTGGGGCTTGAACTCAGGACCTTGCTCTTGTGAGGCAGGCACAGTGCCACTGAGCTAAATCCCTAGCCCTAGGTCTATCTTCTTAAAACAGCACTGAAGGCATAGAAGGGACTCAAGCACCCAATCTAGGTCCCCAGTGTAGGGTTTTCTCAGCCTCAGGTTTTATGGAAGAGTGAGGGCAGGGGTACAGCAGGTGACAGGAGGCTCCCCTTGGCTGCAGAAAGGTAAAGGAATGGCTGACCCTCTTCTGGGACTCATTCAAAAGCTTTCCTTCCTCCTCTGCTGTTTCTGCTGCATTTTTCTTTTATTGCACAAGACCCCTCCCTTCTCATTCAGAATACCCAAGTTACAGAAAGTGTAGAGCAGTTAAGTTGCTATTCTAAACAATGGAGAAAAAAACCCCCTTAATTTTCCATGGAAAAGATACATGAGCCAAAGCAAGTGACAGGAAGAGTTTTTTAAAATACTGCTAAGAAACTGAGGGAGACGAAGACAAAGAGGATGATAGAGACAGATATACAGAGATTGAGGGTGGATAGAAAGAAGAGTCTACGGCCATACCACCCTGATCTCGTCTGATCTCGGAAGCTAAGCAGGGTCGGGCCTGGTTAGTACTTGGATGGGAGAAAGAGAGAAGAATTAATTGCATAGAGGAGACTGAGGCACAGAGATTGAGGGCCAGCAGGAGAAGCATTGCCAGAGATACTGAAAAATACTGTTACAGATGCTGAGAGGAGCCTAAGTTGTAGAACTGGTAGAATGTTCATAAACAAAGAGGACAAGGAAAATAGGAATAAAGGCCCACAGAGAGGAGCCCCAAGGGCGGAAGGTGTAGCTAGTCTAGACAGTGGAAGAGTGAGAGTGAGGGACTAGGAGGGGCAAGCTGGCTCAGGAGTGGTGGAGAGGATGGTGCCAGATCTTCAGATTAGCACACTAAGAGCAGAGCGGAGTGGGAGAAGTCAGAGGAGCTGGGAAGCAGGAGAGCAGAGAGCAGGAGGCCCCCAATGGAAAGATCCACTGAGAAGGCGGGGGTATGTTGAGTTGGAGACAGTCAGAAAGACAAGCATCTGCAGTGCATAACACAAAGACAGAGATACTTGATAGTATCTATGAGGAATGACCAAGAATTTGGGCATTAGGAAAATGTGGCTGTTTTTGTGGTTCACCCAGTAAAATGCATACAGAAAGGGTAAGATTACCCACTGGGGGTGACCAGGTCCCAAATGGACACTTGAAGAGTTTGGGATCCCACACCAGGGCAGTGTTTGTCAGACCTTACCATGGTCTGGTAAAGTGGTCTGCAAGACTGATCCCATGCCTACCAAGCTACTTGCTGAGAAATTCTTCACCTTCTAGCAGAGGGGAGGGGCTTTCCTAGATAGGGAACATCGATATTTTATGTTCTCAGAACACTATCCTTATTATAAATTAATAAATTGTTATGCATTTAAATAATTGCATCAGTCCCTTGTGAATGTTCTTGCTTTGAGTTATTTGTCCTGGCTCAAATGGTGTCCTGCTGGACATGGAGGTACATGCCTGTAATTCTAGCACTTGGGAGGCAGAGGCAGGAGGATCAACATGAGTTCGAGGCCAGCCTGGACTATATAGTGATCTCAAGACTGGCTTGAACTACATAGTGAGACCCTGTCTCAAAACAACAGGGCCAGAGATTTAGCTCAGTAGTACCACCGCCTGCCTTGCAAGTGCAAGGTCCTGAGTTTGATCCCCAGTACCAAAAAACAAGAACAAAATCAAATGCTAGGGCTGGGGATTTAGCTCAGTGGTTCTGCCACATGCCTTGCAAGCGCAAGGTCCGAGTTCCATCCCTGGTACTGAAAAAAAAAAAATCATTCTTGGGGCCGGGGATTTAGCTCAGTGGTGCCGCCTGCTCTGCAAATGCGAGGACCCAAGTTCAATCCCCAGTACCAAAAAAAAAAAAAATCATATGCTATCCTAATGTGAAATACAAGGTTGGGTTGTGGAAGCTTTGCCATGGGAAGGTTTCCTCTTAGGACTGACTCTTTGACCTACAAAGTCCTAAAGTGTTCTAAGATCCTCTGTTGTCAAAAAGCAAACCAATGGGCCAGGGATTTAGCTCAGTGGCACCGTGGCTGCCTCACAAGCCCAAGGTCCTGAGGTGGTCAATCCCTGATACCAGGAAAAAAAAAAAAAAGCAAACCAAATGTATTCAATAGCATGGACTTAGAGCAAGAAAACTAATTCAGACAGTTTAGAATGATTTTCATGGAGCCGGAGTATCTTAACGGTAAAGCACATGGTTAGTAACAGGGCCATGAAACCAAAAGAATCAGCCAGGTATGGTGATGTACACCTGTAATTCCAGAACTCCAGAAGGCTGAAGCAGGAGGATTGCAAGTTCAAGACCAACTTGGGCAATTTAGCAACTTTGTAAGGCCTTATCTCAAAAAAGGGTTGAGGATGTAACTTAGTACTATGCAAAGGCTCTAAATGTCCTGGGTTCAACCCCCAGTACAACACACCAAAAACTCTTTTGGCCAAATTAATCCTGATTTAATAAGAAACTGAAACAGAAATATTGATAACTGAATAGTCAAAATTTTGTCATGTATAAACAAAATCTACACTTGCCAGGCTAAAAAACTGATAGTCCTCATTCTGCAAAAGACAATGAAAGGGAAGTACCTGTGCTGAGATGAAATGTTTTCTTGGCATCATTAACTAAAAGCACAGCATCCCTGGTTGAATTTTTGTTGTGCTCCTCCCACATGCCAAGCACCTTTTATACATTATCCCATTTAATCCCACACAACAGAGATTCACCCATCAATTTTATATGAAAAAGAAAAGAGAGGCTAGAGAGATTGAGTAGTTAGGCTTATCTGCCTACTTAGTCATAGGGCCTAAACTCCTCCTGCCTCAGGCTCCCGAATGCTGGGATTATAGGTATGCACCACTATGCCTGAATTCTGCTAGGACTTGATTTTTTTTTTTTTTTTTTTTGGTTTTTTTGAGACAGGGTCTTGCTATATAGTTCAGGCTGGCCTTGAACTCACTTTGTAGCTCAGGCTGGCCTTGAACTTGAAGCAGTCCTCCTGCCTCAGCCTCTTGAGTGCTAGGATTACAGGCATGCCTGGCTTTTTTTTGTTTTGTTTTGTTTTGTTGTGACAGGGTCTCTCTATGTAGTCTAGGTTGGCCTGGAACTCATAGCAATCCTCCTGACTTAGCCCCCTGAATGATGGGATTACAGGTGAGCACCACCACACCTGCCCATTGTGCTAGGACTTTTGACTAAAATGTGCTCTGTGTATGCTGAACTTGCCAAGCTAGGATGCAAGAGAAACTTCCTGAGCATGAAGCTACCATAGAAAAAGAGAACTCACAAGATGGACAGAGATTTCCAGCAAACTTTAAGTAGATTATCTGAATTGTGATTATAATTGAGTAAATGGGAGTAGAATCAACTAGAGTGTGAATGAGATAAAGATGAATTAAATCAAAGGATAATGGTCATTTGGGACCCTGGAAAAGAGAATCTCAATTCAGAAAGAACAAAACAACACAATAACAATGACAGCATGCCACCATTGGTGGTGCATGCCTGTGATCCCAGCTCTCGGAAGGCTGAGGCAAAAGGATCAGTGTGAGTTCAAGGCCAGCCTAGGCTACATAATGAGTTCAAATTCAGCCTGACTGCATAGCGAAACTCTGTTTCAAGATAACAACAACAACGACAGCAACAACAAACACTTCTCAGAATTGCTTAAGTGGGTATGAGTTGAAAAATTTCCCGATAACAAATAAGTTTCAAGACCACCCAGTCAAGCTGGGCTTGGTGGCACACACCTGGAATCCCAGCATTCCAGGAGGCTGAGCGATTTAGCAAATTAGCAAGACCCCATCTCAAAAATATAAAAGGAATAGGGATTGTAGCTCAGCACAAAGGTCCTGGTTTCAATCCCCAGTGCCCACAACAAAAATAAAAAGGGTTATCCAGTCTTATTATTTCATTTTGCAGAGAAGTGACACTTAGAGAAGTTACATGACTTATCCTAGCACATGTGGGTTGTTTGCTGCCCAGCCAGAATTAGAATCCAAATCTTTAATTTGGTTCACAACACCTTCACATAGCCTAGCTTGTCTCTATGTTCATAGAAAGGCTGATGAGTAGAGAAATGTCAAGGTGGAACTGTAGGAGCCCACTGACAACTAAAGATCAATCAAGTCAGCTAAATAGCCTCTGAAGTAGTATTTATAAGTCAGGAGGTTTAAAGGCCAGACTTCTATTCACCAAGTATTGATTTCTGCACTTTTCAAGAAAGCAGTAACTGTGCAGGCAGAGGTTCATTTCAGCTTTCCTGCACAGATATGAACAGCACTTAACTTAACTTGGTATTACAGACCAGAACCTGCCTCTCTTATCTGGCAAAAGGCACCACTTCACTGGCTATACCTTCTGCAGGACTTGTACACAGAAGTGTCACTCAGACTAAGGGAGCGCTTTCTGCAGAGATAAGAATCCAAGGCATGTGGACTTTAGAAGTAGAAGAATAACAGGTCATTCATGTAGCACAAGAAAGTCCCTGGACAGGGCTTCCAGCCTACCACCACCAAAAACACAGACCCTGGGATAGTGTCTGATGTCCCAGGGACAGTTAGCAATTTCTTAGGGTAGTAAGCTTTTCTCCTCCCACTCTGGCCTGACTGCCCATGCCCTTGAGAGAACTCTTTCATCTCTCTGACCTTCATTGGTTACCATTGCTAATCCCGGGAGCTGACAGACTTGCATGGTGACTCTCCCTCCCACAGATCCAAAGTCAAGGAGGACAGAGAAGCCCACAGAACTGGAGTGCCACAAATCCTGATCCTGATCCAGGACAGTACTGCCACCCCCTTCTCCTTAGCAGTTTGTCTAAACAAAATTTTCCCCAGCTCCATCCAGACCTTCCTTCTCCAGCCCCAAATCTTTTTGTTTGTTTGTTTGTGGTACCGGGATTGAATTTAGGACCTTGTGCTTTCAAGGCAGTCACAGTGCCACTGAGCTATATTCCCGGCCCTGTTTGTCTGTTTTTTGAGACAGGATCTCCCTATACAGTTCAGGCTGGTCTTGAATTCACTATGTAGCCCAGGCTGACCATAAACTTGCAGCAATCATCCTGCCTCAGCCTCCTCAGTGCTGGGATAACAGGTGTACACCACCATACCCAGCACCAATGCCAAATCTTATGATAAGATTATGAATCCAACTGTTCTCCCTAACCCATAGCAATCGTAAGTAGGATGCTGGGGCCCTGGGGAAGTGGGGGAGGAAAGCAGGGAATGGTCTAAAGCAAATGTATTAGCATTTCCTTGATATATATTGAATCTTTAAAATTAATATGCACTTTGCATTTTGCTTCAAAATCTTTCTCTGTTTTAGTATAAAATACCATTTGAAATGATTTAAAAGTTATAATACTTGATTTTAAAAATTTTTACAGAATGTCAAGTGAAACTGTCAATACTGTGATCTAAGCAAGATTTATTTTGTTCTGTGCTTCCAAGTATCACCAGTACACTTTACTTTTCCTTATTCTCCTTTCAACTAATATTTATAAAGGACCTACTATGTCTCAAGCGTATAGGACAAGATATAATAGTGAGTTAATGAGTCAGATACTTGGCCTCAGGGAGCCTGCAATCAGGACTATGTCAAAGTGGAAAATTGGGAAATAGAAGTCATCCATCGAGGGAAACCAGAAAAGATGGATATAGAGACAGGTCATTCAAAGACCCATAGTCTAGCTAAGTGTGGTGGTGCACCCTGTAATCTCAGCAGTCTGTAGGCTGAGGGAACAATATGATGTTCACTCACTCTGGGAACCAAGGGGCGAGCATGGGTTGGCCTCAGGGTTTATTCCTTGCCTCCTACAGAATGCTGTCAAAGGAGTTGAAGGAGCAGGTGGGCACAGACCAGCTCAGGAACAAATAGTACTGTATCCCATGGTACACATCCTGGAGAGGACAAACTATTCAAGAGAAAAGGATTCTAGAAGCAGCAAAGAAAAATGAAATAGACTATGAAGTAGGTGACATCCCAACAAAGTGGGAAGCTGGGATTAGAAGAAAAAGAAATACTCCACCTACCATGGAGGAAATACTAAAGAATGAAAAGTACAGAGAATAAATGAAGATAAAAAGCAGCCTGGGGATTTAGCTCAATGGTTTCACCACCTGCTGCACAAGTGCAAGGACCAGAGTTCAATCCCTGGTACCAAAAGAAAAAGAAAAAGAAGGTAAAAAGCAAAAAAAAATTTTTTTCGGTATCAAGGAGCGAACTCAGGACCTTGTGCTTGCGAGGCAGGTGGTGGAACCACTAAGCTAAATCCTCAGCCCTAAAAAGGAAAAAAAAAGAAATTGAACTGGGGTCCTTGTGCTTGCACAGCAGGTGGTGAAACCACTGAGCTAAATCCC